AGTGGTCAGAGTGTTTTGTCACAGCAATGAAGAAACAAACTAGAACAATGCATGAATAAATTTCCAACATTGAGAAACATTCAAATGAACAAAAATGAAAATCTATGGAGTAAAAGAGGGAGATGAAATCAAAACAAAAGTGTGAAAATGTACTCAATGAAAATAAATTAGAAAAGATATGAAAAATACAGATATAAAATCACAAGAGAGTCATTTAGAATGTTGAAATAAGTATTAACAGAGCTCTACATAACAAGTCATAGGCCACATGAAAAAAAAAGTAAGGAAAAAAGTCAATACTTAATCCTGTTAGGGAAAAAATACCAACTCATTACAAAGGCAGAAAATGTGTAATAATATCAGATCTCTTGTCAAGAAAGACCAGAGGCAAAACAGTATGAAATAATGTAAAAAGACATTTATCACACTGGAAGCGAACATACTAATTAAAATTGACTTATATAAAAAGTATATCTTAAAATTGATGGAGGAACACCCACACCTTCTCCTCACTGTGGACCTGTGCAGTGTACCTGGAGGGAGAGACTGGGTTAGAAAAAGTCACATCAGTGTCCCTCCATCATAGAAGGAGGGAGGGAAGACAGTTGTTTCAGGCTTCACAGACCTTTCCTCTCAACCACAAGATTCCATTTTCATCAAATGGCACTGGAACAATACAGAATTTACCTGCTTTTCATTTAAAAACTTGATGGAGGAAGAAGTCGATCTAAAGAAATCTGCCAATTCATGGCAAGCAAATCATCACTTTAGAATTTATGGATGCAAACAGGGTACATGGAGGAGCAAGACTCTCTCATTCATGGGAACAGAAGTCAGAATACAATTGTAAAGAGTAATTGATGAACGTATCATGTCCCAGAAGGATTCCACAATTAACAACACAGAAAACAAAGTAAGCTCAATACTATTACTAATAAGGATTAATACTAATCAATGATTTTAAACAGCAGAACACCAAAAAACTACATTGAATTAAAAAAAAAACCCTCTTACAATAATATTAAATAAAAATAGCCTCAGGCCAACAATTAGAATATAGAGTCAAGAAGAGTGGATTCAAACTCATTTTCAAGTATCTCTTCTGTCCAAGAAACACACTTTACAGACAATGACATCCAGAAATCTAGAATTAATTATGGCAAACCAACGACCAGCTAAAAGAATATATAAACAAAATGGAATATCAATTCCCATATATCATAAAGCAGTCTGTAAGCAAATATAAGCAGAAGAGTTAAAATGATCAATACATATTAGTAGAAAGAAATTTTTATAGAGAACTATACATGTTTTCACAAAATGTTATGATTCCTAATTTTATAATACAAAAACCAAGTAGAAAAAAAGCTTAAAATTGATTCTGATATAGTAACAGTGAGCAATGTCAATTCACCACTTTAAATTCTAGGTAGATTTTCCCAAAATTTTGGGTAAAAACCTTCAAGGTCTGAATTATTTCACAAACGAAGAGCATTATTTCAATGATATCCACAAATTGTTATTTAGAGGAACTAAGAATAAAAAAAAATTCAGATTTCCCACAGGGTGTGGTGGAGCACGCCTGTAGCCCCAGCACTTGGGAGGCAGAGGCAGGTGGATCTCTGTGAGTTCAAGGCCTGGTCTACATAGTGAGTTCCAGGACAGCTGGGGCTACAGGGAGACCCTGCTTCAAAAAGACAAAAAAAAAATTTTTCAGATTTCCATAGAAAATATTCTAGAAAAGATCACATTATGGGTTGCAAATCTAGCATCATCTAAAACAGATGTGCTTTTAAAAAATTTTTATTTATTATTTTTATTTTATGTGTATGAGTGTATTGCCTGCATGTATGTGAGTGCACCCATGTTGTGCAATGCCACGGAGGACAGAAGAGGGCTTCAGATTCCCCTGAAACTGGAGTTAAGGACAGTCCATAGCCAGCATGTGGGTGCTGGGATTCGAACCCAGGTCCTCTGCAAGAGCAGTCAGTGCTCTTAACTGCTGAGCCATCTCTCCAGCCCTTTTAAAAAATTGATTGAACTGCTTGCTTGCCCACCTACAAGTACAAACATATGATTGCTTGTCTTTGAGTAAATCATGTTTTACACAAAGCACCAAGCACTTTACCTTTTGGACTTAACCTTTAAAAGCTTTCATCCCCTCCCAATTAGTGCAGCTTTCTTTAAACTGGCTCAGAGAGTGCAGTCATTGGCAAGCTCAATGAATTCAGCTGATTCAGAAAAAAATTTTAAAAACCTACCATGTATTTTTAACTAATAGTGGAAGAAAATTACAAATAAACTAAAAAAGAAATGAATCTGTGGAAATACTTGTTTATTGAGCAAATTTTACTTAAATGAATTTTGGATCATTGTTATAACCAGGATAGAAAATTTCAAATTCCTAAAAATTTCTTCTTTGAAGAAAAAACTATGGATAAAAATCATAACCTCCAATTCAGTGTGAAACAAAATAAATAACATACAAATGCAATTCAATTTTCTCTTGAATGAAGAAGCTAAACACAGTGCATTAGATGGTGAGAAATAACCAATAGAAAAGAAAAAAAAAAAAACCCACAGAATATAAGACATGAAACCCATCACTGTATTCCTTGAAAAAAACTGACCAAAGACTGGACAAGGTAACCAAAAAAATCCTAGTAAAAATAAATTAATGACAGCCCAAATCTAGATGCGATCATTACTGAGATCTCATAATATCTTTTTCAGTCACTTAACACTACATTTGGAAAAATAAAATAAAATAAAAAAACCCACAGAATATAAGACATGAAACCCATCACTGTATTCCTTGAAAAAAACTGACCAAAGACTGGACAAGGTAACCAAAAAAATCCTAGTAAAAATAAATTAATGACAGCCCAAATCTAGATGCGATCATTACTGAGATCTCATAATATCTTTTTCAGTCACTTAACACTACATTTGGAAAAATAAAATAAAATAATTAAAAAAAAGCAATTACACACAAAGTCAGATACTACCCATGTATCAATATCTAGGTTTGAATTTGGGTATTGTATCTGTGAGCATTTAAATCCATCAAATACTAAGCATATGAAAACAAAATTTACTATATTGTGAAAAGATACACTGGTTGCATGCATGAAATTTTCAAATGATTAACATAATGGTTAATAAATTAATAAATTGTTAATAATGGTGAATATATTTAATCATGTACTATAGGCACTCAGAAGTGGCACAGAAGACAAAATACACTGTGTAAAAATATTTTAGTGATAAACTTAAAAAATACATCTCTAAGAAGCCAGGTGTGGTTGTGCACAACTTTAAATCCATCATTCAGTATGCAGAGGCAGGCAGATCTCTTTGAGTCAGCCTGGTCAACATAGTAAGTTCCAGGCCAGCTTGGGCTACAGGGAGACCCTGTCTGAAAAAAAAAATTCCAAAAATCCTTATAGGAACAATACATGAAATAATGTAGAGTCAAGAACTTTCCCAAAGCAAAAAACTGAGAGATGGGTCCAGTGTTGAATGGGAAGAGTCGTGCAGGACATTTCCAGTGTCCTATGAATTCCCAGTCTATTTTTTTTTTTTTTTTCTGATCTTTCTGAGACAGGGTCTCTCTGTAGCCCCAGCTGCCCTGGAAATCACTAGGGAGATCAGGCTTGCCTGGAACTCACAGGGATCCACCCACCTCTGCCTCAGGAGTGCTGGTATTAAAGGTGTGCACCACCACACCTGGCAGCTAAGGTAATCACTATCTTTTTATAATATTTCAAATTTGAAACTGAATTTCATCTATTTTCTCTCCTATCACCACACAGTCCATTCTGGATAATTTTCATCTGATCAACAACTGAGAAAAATTATTGAGCAGATAAAACATTCTATTTAGGCTCTATCTTACAGGTTTCTGTCCAGTATCCATGGGGCTCAGAGACAAACAGTGGAAAGACTGAACCATGAGATGGAAGGTGATGACATGCGAAATCTCATCCCATGCCTGACAAAAATTATAGAGAAGAGACAGGTGCCTGATCGAGACAGCTCCTCCAAACCATGGCTCTGTGAATTGTGTCCTATCTGTGATGAATACTGAAGTCAGAAAGATTATGAATGAACGAAGCATCTGAGCAGCATGAGAAAGCGTGGATCCCAAAGAAGCCAACACTGACTTGCACGCACACACAGGAGGATGGACACATTTCCAAAATCAATGAACACTTGCAGAACTGGACCGGACAATAGAGTAAGTCTTAAATATTATACAAGACCAATGTTTCACAATCTCTTTTCAGATCAAACTATAAAATAGACATCAATAGTAGGTAGAAAATGGAGGAATCCCAAATGCCACGTAGTCACACATATTTAGCACATCCTTATTTAAAATGGGAAGAGAATATAGAATTTCATGGTATGTAAACATTCTATGTGAGTCTCATCAGTCACAATAATTTTCAGGAGAAATACATTAGTAATTGTAAAACAATGAAAAAATCACAAGGAACCAGGAGGGCACAAACATTTTCAAAGGAGGAACAAAATGAAAGACACAAAATTTACTAATTTCATGATATATTAAAAACTTGATTCTATAGGCCTTAATGTATATCACAGAATACACGAAATCTGGTGGGGGGGTATTTGGGGGGGAACAGATCAAGTAGGTGGTATAAAGATGATTAAGATTTTCTTTTTTTAATGAAAGGCACAAAAATTCAATAAAAAAACACATTCAAACAATAGTACAGGAAGAACTCATAGGAAAAAATCAGCTATTAGCTTGCATTGGCAATAAATGTGACAGGGAAGATGAGGAAAAATTACATAATTAAATCAAGTGATGTGTGCACACTAGTAATTTCCACATAATTTATGTGCAATAAAAGAAGTCATTTGACATTTATCACAGGACAATCCTTTATGAAATTCCTATAAATTAAATTATCAGAATCTCTTTACAGTGAAACAGACTATGGCAAAAGCATTTACTTAGGACTTCTCACCTCCTTCATCAACTCAGTCCTAACTGGTTGGCTACAGTCTCCCCTCTCTTCACATTCCAGGACTCTTTGCTTTCCTCCAGACAGGAGACCAGAACAGGTTTACACACAGCAAGACCTGTGTATGAGAAAGAGGCACATGTGCTTGCTGGATTCTTTAGAAAGTACAGGATTTCTAACACAGCACTGTGCTCCAATAAAATATGGAGAAAAAGAGATAACTCTTCAAATTATTCCCAAATTTTTATTTATGACACTTTTATTAAAATACATAGGAAAATTTTCAGTTTTCATGCAACAAGTTTTATCACTGATTCAAAATGCAGCTATGGAAATGAAACCTTAAGATTCTGGCTACAGGAGACTCTGTCTCAAAAAGAGAGAAAGAAATGCATGTTACATGTAAATCCCATAGACTTTGTAGGACTATTTTGCACTAGATGTTGCTGCATGTTAATGAGTGTCTCAAAACAGAAAAAAAATTGTGTAGACTATTGGTGTTTTACACAAAGTGGCCTAATAAATATTCATTTGTTTCCCCATAAATAAACTCAAAAAAAAAAAAAGATTCTGGTTACAGTATTATGTACTAATGGGTGGCTGAAATTAACACCAAAAATAATGAATAATATAATAATAATTCCTCTATAATAAAATAATAATTCCTCTAAAAAGTGGAAATGGAAAGTAATGACAGAATATAAACATGTTCTTCATGATGCGCAGACATTCCCAATACACTAATTTTTAAGGAATCCAAGACTTACACAGCAAAGCTAACATGTCCAAAGTAGACTGATCTATCAAAGGATGGAAAATAGTAAAAAATTCTGACAGAAAAATCTCCTCACCTATAGACATCAGATTGCTATAGTTCTCCAACATCACCTTCTTGTACAAAGTCCTCTGACCAAAGTCTAGGAATTTCCACTCCTTCTGGGAGAAATCTATGGACAGATCCTTGAATATCAATAGATCCTAAAATGAAAAATAACAATTAGACCATCAGGATGGAAAATAGTAAAAAATTCTGACAGAAAAATCTCCTCACCTATAGACATCAGATTGCTATAGTTCTCCAACATCACCTTCTTGTACAAAGTCCTCTGACCAAAGTCTAGGAATTTCCACTCCTTCTGGGAGAAATCTATGGACAGATCCTTGAATATCAATAGATCCTAAAATGAAAAATAACAATTAGACCATCTGCAATTAAACAGGGTACTGGACCCAAGAAAGAAAGAGATAATTGACTGTAGACTTCTGAATTAGATGACAAATCTGAATTTTGCAAAATTATCATTCTTAATCTAGTAACAATAATCTACTCACTAAATCTGTGCAAAAAAGAATAGCATCAAACCATCTGAATTTTTGTGCAGATTATGATGTTAAGGACTATAGCACATACATTAAGCCCTCAACATAGAAATACCATTCTCTCCTGCATTTGTAGCATACAAGATCGTTTGTATATATTTATCTGATATAAAGTCACACTGATTTATAAGTCTACTTCATGAATTTGAATGTTTAAAACCATGCACTGTAGTCCTAGCTAAAACATAGATTTTTACCTTAACATGATCTGTGGCTGGGCCTGACTTAACCATTTCCTAACAGACTTTGCAGTGAAGTCAGTGGCCCAGCTACAAAAGATACTTTCTCCAACAGCACTGAGTAGAACATGGCAGAAGATAAAGAACTATGTGTGCTCTCCCTCCACAGCAAGAAGACACAATCCTTCTGAAGAAAATCCTATACCCTGCATGTAATGTAGAAAGTACAGAAACATCAGTGAATAATTATTCTAACAATACTTTCATAGTAATTCCTATTTTATCCTCATTTTCCTACCTAAAATTTACCTAGAAGGAACACTGGCTGACTTACGCACACCACAGTAAAAGATTTTGAGAACTGGGCTCCTCACTGCAGAAAATGAAAACACAAAGGCCAGATCCAGCACTGGCTGAACAATGTTGATGCTGCATACACAAATGCCCCCCAGATCAGACAACTACACGTGTGTAACATTTGGTGAAGGGAACTTTTTTCTGAGGTTCAAAGACCCAGTAATGGAGGCAGCACTGTGATTGGGTGTGAAGTAACAACACCAACAGAGAGAAAGAGGCCTGCTTCAGAATGGCCCCCTGGAAAACTCAGTATACAGCAAACAAATGACGAAGGTTTCTCTCTCCAAAGAAAGGAGGAAAACGACAGTGATGAAAGGAGATTCTGCAGTAAAGGTCATGATGCCTGTGCTTCCCTCGGTAAACTACCAAGAGAAAACATTCCTAATAAATTAAAAACAGTGATGTCAAACAGTGATTTGGTGTTGAGCAGCTCAGCCAAGGGAATCATCTCCCAGGAGACAAAAGAATACAGGTGTCAACAAACACAGCAGCACATTCCATCAGTCCTGTGATGTCAGTGGGATTAAACGTTGTGCAAAGTAACACAATATCAGAATAAAATAAAACAAAAATATCACTTTTATGTACAGTTCAAACAACAATATGCTGGCATATAAGGACCCAAGTCCATCCTCCTTAGGAACTGAAGATTGGTATGTTTGAATATCCACCTATCATATCAGAAACATTTTTAAGATTGTTTGTTGGTCATGCATTCATTGGATTAGTCCAGAAAAAAAAAAAAAAACCACAGGAGCACAAAATGGAGAGGTGGATATGCTACATAGGTGATACATATGTAAAGAGTTGATGTGGGCAGGGCATGGCGGCACAAGTTTTTAGACCCAAGATTTCAAAGGCCTGCTGATCTCTGTGAGGCCCATGCCAGTCTGGTCTACTTAGCTATGATCTGAACCAGAAAAGGTTATACGTTCAAAATATCAAACATTTAGAAAAAGAAAATGTATGGAGGCCAGGCCCTTAGATGTATTTATCTGAAAAGGAGCCATCTCTCTCCTCCTGTGAGTTTCCTTTCCAGGCAATCTTACATAAATAGTCTTCTCTTTCTTTCGAGAAACTTCCTTTCAGTTTACTGAAAATCCACTTCACCTGCCAACATAACAAGAGGAGGAAGCACTACAGAAAACAAAGCAGGCCACTCTCACTGTCTGCTGTCACAGTAGATGCACAGGAAGAAAGAGCTCAACATGAAGACCCATATAGAAGTTTCTGCTTACCTGCCTTAGAGTGGCCCATGCTGCCAATAAGATAAATAATTCCTACTACATTCACAGGAATGTAGCTGCCTCACCTCCTTACCTAAACAAGGCAGAGGAACATGGTTTTCATCCCTTGGAATAGAAGCTAAACTAAGCTTTCCTTCAGGAGCACTGGCAGCCGAGACCCAGCCTCACTGTCTTCTACCTGCGATTGTTCATTGAAACAGCACTGATGCTTCTACTTTGCTTCATAGACAAAATTTGTGGGAGATGCACAAGTGAAAGTTCTTTTTTTTTTTCTTTTCTTTTTATTTTATGTGTATGAGTGTTATGCCTGCATGATGGTAAGTGCACCTGTGTCATGCAATCCTTCCGGAGGACAGAAGAGGCTGTCAGATCCCCTGGAACTGGAGTTACGGACAGTTGTTAGCTGCCATGCGGGTGCTGGGATTCGAACCCAGATCTTCTGCAAGAACAGTCAGTGTTCTTAACCACTGAGCCATCTCTCCAGCCCCAAAAGTTTTACTTTTAAAGGCTAAAGTTCAGGAGCCATTCATTGTGAGTTTTAAAAATCTATTCTTGGGGCTGGAGAAATGGCTCAGAGGTCAAGAATACTGGCTGCTCTTGCAGAGGACCTAGGTTCAGGGTGCAGCACCCACATGGTCCTAACAACTGTATTTAACACCTGTTCTAAGGGTTCCCACACCATCTTCCAGCCTCCACAGACATGGCTCACATGGCTGCACTTACACACAAGCACACCACTCATACACATGAAAGAGAAATACATAAATAACAATAAAAATGAAGCCATTATTGCCTGGTGACACTATATTTTACAAATTTATGACATTTCCTTGATATTTTGTTAAACATATACACTGGATATTGATCTAGTCAGTCATTAATACATCCACATGAAAATTTTACCCTTTCCTATCGTGAATGTATGTATCCAAATTGGTATTTTCTAACAATTTTAACATATAAAATGTAACTTGGATTTTTTTTTATTTTCCCTTTATAATGATTGGGCTTATAAGGCATGCAACTTGGAGTATTTTATTTTCCTTGTTGTGGCATAGAACATTAGAACTTAGTTAAGCCATGAAGCCATGATACTTTCTGTTATTTACACCACATTCTCCCCAATCACTGCAAACTGCTATTGTACCTTCAACATCTATCATCTACCTTTTCCTTTTCTATTTCTATTATGACTGAGATCATATTCTGCTTGTTTCAAATTCCTTTATCAAATACAGTGTCCACAAGATCAATCGTTTCTCAAGCATGAGAAGGTTCCATTCTTTTCTATGATGGCATTGTGGTGTATTCTTTAGAAATATCACATTTCAGTAAATCTTTCATTTGTCAATGGACATTTCAGTAGATTCCCTGTTCTTCAAACAGCACTGCCATAATTAGGGAGCACACATATCTCTAGCCTATACTGAATTCACTTCCTTTGATTATCTAGTCAGGATTTGGTGGTAGGAGCCACACTGGAGAGGGAACACCTGTGGCTTGTTTTTCAGCATCTGTTTTGCATCACTTAGTACAGCCATTATTTCTAGATCCATCCATTTACCTGCAAATTCCTTGATTTCTTTTTCCTTTACCACAGAGTAGAACTCCATTGTGGAAATGTACCAAATTTAAAGGATTCACTCATAAACAGAGGGACATTTAGGTTGTGCAACTGAATTTAAGAGAGAATACAATAGAAACTTTTTTTTAACGCTGGTTTATCATGTAATTAACTGAGATGTTACATGTGTCTCTTCTGATGAGTTCAGAGGACTTTGGTTGAAATTAAATTAAGACTCACATTCTTGAAATTGCATGGGTAAATTGAAGGCACAGTCACTTTATAATGATTGGGCTTATAAGGCAGTTTTCAATCTTGAAATTACCTTGTGACATTCCTTCTAATATATACATTTTAATATGAGAATTCATGAAGTATTGTGTTAAATTAAATAGTCAATTTCAAAAATGTATGTAGAGAACAAAATATCACATGGCACCTTCTAAATACATATAGTTCTTCTTTGTCAAAAATTGAGGTCAAGGGGCCGGAAAGACGGCTCAGAGGTTAAGAACACTGGTTGCCGGTGTTTGATTCCCAGCACCCACAAGGCAGATAGTAGCCACGTGTAATTCCAGTTTATACCATGTTAGAGGTTGGCTCCTTGCTGACTTCATTAACTTCTGTTATTTCCCTGTTTTTTCCCTTCAATATTTTTTGATAGGAGTTGAATCATTAGTCTTGTTCAGTTAAGGTAAAAGGGTTGTTTTTCTGGGGTTTAATGTTTAATTCTTTTGAAGTGAGATTTATGTTCCTATTCTATCACAAAGGGTATTTAAAAAAAAAAAATCAGCAACCTTGACTTGTAAAATGGGTTTAGCTGACCACAGTGTCATGAGACTCGTTTCCATACGATTTCCTGTAATACTGAAATAAGTTTATGCAAACCTGCTAACCGCAATCTTCTGCCTTTGTGCTTGGCTTGCTTGCTTGCAAAGGGTCATGAAAGACCTACGAAAGGACTCGGTTACTTTAACGCAGGGCCAATTTTTCTCCTACTCCCATGGAGAGTAAATATGGCCCAATTGCAATCGTAAATAAATCTTTACCTTGCTGCATCTCTGTCTGTGAGACTGATTCAGTCCCACAACTTTTGGAGGTCCCACCGAGATCGTTGCCAGGCCCTGTGAGGCAGGAACTTCCAGGCAACGCGCTGAGAGACGTTCCTCAGCTCCGGTTCTTCCTGTCCTTTACAGCCATCTATATAGTAAGGTAAGAGGTGCATCTGTATTCTGTTTGGGGTACCCCTTTCT